CACGTGTATAGAAAATGCTGTTTAAATTTTCTCTGTTCAAAAGCACATTAAGTGGTTTCCTTTTTCTTATTTAGACCCTTACTGACAAACCCCTTATGCCCAAGGATCTCCAACACTAGAAATGTTGTGTTTCACTTTAGATATTGGATGTCAACCAATACCATTCCTTGAATTCAAGTTTAGAAGGATATCTAAAACATTAAGTACAGAATTTACTTTAAACATGTCAAGGATAAAATAGTTATGTGAATGTAAGATGTTTTATTGACACTTCCAACAAACAGGAGAAAGGCAACAAAGTCATTCATTCATTCATCCATTCATTGCTGCATCCACGCATTTATTTAACAAACATTTACTAGCATCTTCCATGAATCAGAAATTCTTCTTCTTTTTTTTTTTTTTTTAATTCAGAGGAAGATTTAGGAATCTGTGCACAGGAATTGATGATAGTACAAAAACAAACAAACAAAACTGGTTTCTGTCTCTGAGGAGTTCAGATTAAATTGCAGAAGAAAAGAATAAACATAATTACTATGACTCCCAACCCCCTACCAATTTCTCTACCACGTGTATATTAGTGCCAGCAGGAGAAGAAAGGACCCCACAAGTCATTTCTCATTAAAGACACAAAATAGTCAGGCCGGCCCGGTGGCGCACTGCCACAGTGCGCCGCTTGGGAGCGTGGCGGCGCACTCCCACCAAGGGTTCGGATCCCACATACAGACCGGTTCCCGCTCACTGGCTGAGTGANAGGTGGGGTGGAGGGTGCAGGGAGGAGGGGGTGGGGAAGTCGGTGGCAGGCACTGGGGAAGCCGAGCCGCCGAGCCCGAGCCCGGCGCCCTGTGTTGTGCTCCGCTCTCCGGGAAATGCCATCACTAATTTATGCACTAAAAGGAGCCGGAGGAGCTGGAGAGACGCGGGGCCGAGCCGGGGAGGCCGGCGGAGGGAGGGAGGGCGCAGGCAGTGACTGATGTGCAGCAGAAAATGGCTCCTTTCCCCTTTCCCTCCACCGAACGGCTCCATATTGCAAAACCAAAAAAAAAAAAAAAAAAAAAAAAAAAAAATTAAAAAGCGACGAAAATGCAATTGTGTGCCTCCTCCCTTCTAGGGGTGCAGGGAGGGGAAGAAAAAAGGCAGAAAATGTTGGGGACTGTCACTGCGGCGCTTTTGGTGGGGATTTTTTTTCTTTAATTTGAAATGCGAAGGCACCGGATGGAGACAGACGCGCAGGCACACGCACACACACACTCACACACACAGGGAGAGGCATATTTTTGTGTTGCTGAGTATTTGGGGGTTGCTTGCCCGTGACAGCGGGCTCCTGGGCCGCGAGGGGGTGTGGGAAGGCCGCCGGGCTGTGGGTTATCGGATTAGGGGTCAAATGGAGCGCGGCTGAACCCTCGCCGAGACTCGGGGCTGGGCAGAGGAGGAGGGGGACTGCGACTTGCATTTTGGCTGCTTTGCACGCAGGGTTCCTGGTGAGCAAAGTGGCTTTGGAGCATGTCGCAGTAGCATGCTTAAAATTCTTGACAACTGCAAAATAAACTGCTAGTTTCATTTTCTTTACCCCTCCCCTTTCTTCCTGCCCTTGTGCGTTTATTTTTACTTGGGGGGGGGTGCAGTGTATCAGGGACCGTGTTAGGCCTGCAGAGATCTACCCTCCATTCTCCACATTCACAGCTAAATAGCTTTCGGTTCCTGGAGACAGAGTAGGGCCTGATGTCATTCCCCACCTGGAGCCCGCAAAGCTGGCTCGGTTTTTTTTGACGCCGTGTCCCCCTCCCTTTTCCCTTGCAAGATATAACACGTGGGAACCCGAGGAGAACATCCTGGATCCCCGGCTGCTGATCGCCTTCCAGAACAGGTGAGCGTCCCCCAAGCAGCCGCCGCCCGCTGCCTTGACCGTATATGGGAATGGGAAAGTGGGCGACGCAGCAATAGGAAAGGGGAAAAGGGCGGGGGGAGGGGGCTGGCGGGAGTCCCCCCCCAACACCGGCCTGAACGGGCAGGGCTGCGGTCTCGGGTCTTCTAACCAATGTCCTTGGCGGTTGCTGCAGCTCGAGGGTGGGGGCGGGGCGAAGGAGAGGCTTGTGTTTTGGGGGAACTGCGGGAAGGGTGCATGCGGTGGCCCCGCAGCTGTCCAGAGAACTAGGGGCCGCGCCTGGTTCCCCGCGGCCCATTCCTGTTGCAACCTTGCAGCCCCACCCCCGGAGCCTAGGTGTTGCTTTCCTGCAGCCACTGGCCGCTTGGCACCGGCACCTCGCGGGGCAGCTCCCAGGGAGCTGGCATTGTGAAACCGCCCGGACGTCACGGAACTGAACTTAACCTGTTGGCGCCTGGAGAAAAGTTGACAGGGCCTTAAGCCCCCACCCCCACCCCCCAGGGAGCTTTGGGTTTGCCGGGAGTAGATTCTGTCTGGCTCCAGGTTCCCTTCACACACCTCCCCCCCCCACCGGGCTATTTGGTGGGGTAGGGCACGCCATCCTCAAGGCAGGGGAGCTTAGCCCAAGGGCGCTGGGTGGGCGCTGACTGCCGGTGGAGGGGTGGCGTCTTCCGAGGGGCTCATCGTGGTGCGTACAGATGCTTGTCACGCTGCAGCTGCTGCAGCTGGATTCACCGCCGGTGGCTGTGGTTCTCTGTTTCGGGGAGGATAGAAGGGGGAAGGGCGAGGAGGGGAGGAGCCGCAGGAGCCCCGGGAGCTCGGCCACCCCGCTGCCTCCCATTCCTCCTCCCCCTTTTATTTTGCACTATTTCCTGTGGCGCGTTTGGCGCTAAAACTAAACTCTAGCCCCTCTGAGCAAGCGTCCGGCAGGGAAGTTTCTCTCCCACGACGCAGGGGGGCTCCGAGCAGGGATCCTGCCCCGACTCCACCTGGGAGTTCACCAGCCTGTAACCATGTCAGCGGCTGATGCCATGTTGCATAATGGGTCCCCGAAGAATTAAAACGCAGGCTGTTGCAATGCCACGCAACTTCGGAATCAGGCCCCGGCCCCAAGGCATGGTGGCACTCCCCTGAGTTAGCCCACGGGCAGCGGAGGGTGTGGGGGTCGTGGCTGGGGAATGGGCTGCAACTTTGGCAAACGCTGGAGAGTCTGCTCCCATGGAGGGCTGGGCAGTGCTTGGGACAACCCGCCCGCCCACACCTCCCCAGCCGCGGGTCACCCTTCAGCTGGCCCGCAGGCAGAAGCCTGGCGGCTGTCGCACCCGGTGCCTCCGCCCCATGGGCTTTATTATTAATTTGGAAATCGGGGCGGCCGGGAGCCTGGCTCTAAGGAGAAGGCGGTGCTTGTCCGCCCCGCCCACCTGCTCAGCCGGGGCTGCGCGGAGCCAGTTAACCAGGTGGCTGCGGACCTGGCCAGACCCTGGCCACAGCGGTCGGCTCCCCACCCCCAGCCCCTAATTGGCTCATTTGCCACTGTGTAAACAAGGGCGCAGCCCCTCCCCCTGTTTAGTGCCTGGCCTTTAGGAAAAAACGAGTACTCCCTTCTGCTGGCGACACTCGTTATCTGAATCTTAATGAGGTCATTAGCATCCCGTGCTTGTGACTGGGAGGGACGAGATCGGTGCACACCTCGACGGACTAGTTTGTGTCCCTGGACCCCCGAGCCCCTTTCCACTTTGCACAGAGCCCCGGGCCCAGCGCTGTGGGTGCCAGTGCCGGCTACCCAGCCCCGACCTGCCGCCTTCTGGGCACAGAGGCAGGGCTGTGGGGGGGGCATCGGTTCAGGTGGGGACATCAGAGGTGGGGGAGCCTTTCCGCGAGGATTTCCTGGGCGGATGAGGGCTGGTGAGAGCGTAAAGCGGGGCGCTGGCACCTGACCGAGGCGCCCAACTGGCGGCAGAGGCTGCCTTCCGCCTGGAGCTTTTCATCCCTCCGTGTCCTGCCCGATGTTGGCCGGAGGTGGGGGGCGTCACCGAAGGTGTGGGGAGTGTCCACCCTGAAGCTAACAGCGCTGCCCTCTGTCCCCCTCGCCCCCCAGGGAACGGCAGGAGCAGTTGATGGGATATCGGAAGAGAGGGCCGAAGCCCAAACCGCTGGTGGTGCAGGTGAATACGCCCACGAGCCCTTCTCTTGACGCTGCCTCCAGCCCCGGAGGGCGGGGGGATTATTCCCGAGCACCCCAATTCCGCTTCCTTTCTCCTGGACCTCCCACACCCCGCCCCCCTTGACGCAGCTGCGGACGTGGGGGGGTGGGGACTGGGACGCTGCTGCTGCTCCCGGCATGCTGTGGGGCTGGCCTCTCCCTCCTCTCACCCCCGACCCCGTGCCCTCAGGTGCCTACCTTTGCCCGTCGCTCCAATGTACTGACCGGACTCCAGGACTCCTCCGCGGACAGCCGCGCCAAGCTGGAGCTGGGCGCGCAGGGCAAGGGCCAGGGGCACCAGTACGAGCTCAACAGCAAGAAGCATCACCAGTACCAGCCGCACAGCAAGGAGCGGGCGGGCAAGCCCCCACCGCCGGGCAAGAGCGGCAAATACTACTACCAGCTCAACAGCAAGAAGCACCACCCGTACCAGCCCGACCCCAAGATGTACGACCTGCAGTACCAGGGCGGCCACAAGGAGGCGCCCAGCCCCACCTGCCCGGACCTGGGCGCCAAGAGCCACCAGCCCGACAAGTGGGCCCACGGTGCGGGGGCCAAGGGCTACCTGGGAGCGGTGAAACCCCTGGCCGGAGCGGCCGGAGCTCCGGGAAAGGGCTCCGAGAAGGGCCCCCCCAACGGGATGACACCGGCCCCCAAGGAGGCGGTGACGGGCAACGGGATTGGGGGCAAGATGAAGATCGTCAAGAACAAGAACAAAAACGGGCGCATCGTGATCGTGATGAGCAAGTACATGGAGAACGGCATGCAGGCGGTGAAGATCAAATCCGGAGAGGCGGCCGAGGGCGAGGCGCGCTCCCCCAGCCACAAGAAGCGGGCCCCCGAGGAGCGCCACCCCCCGGCCGACAGGACTTTGAAGAAGGCGGCAGGTGCAGAGGAGAAGAAGCCCGAGGCGCCCTCCAAGAGGAGGGACGAGGAGGTGCCGGGGGCCGGTGACCCGCTGCCGCAGGACGCGGGCGCCCGCAAGCTCTCCCCGCCCAAGGAGGCCTTCAGCGAGCAGCCCCTGCAGCTCACCACCAAGCCCGACCTGCTGGCCTGGGACCCGGCCCGG